TGATCCTTGTTTTCATCACTGTAAAGTGAGCATTATCAGAGTACTTCACACAATTTTTTGAGAAAATTAAATGAGAAACTATATGTAAAATAGATAGCAACTGGCACTTGGGAGTATTACTGTTAGCTGCTCATTACCCCTGCCTGCTGGGAAAGAATGTGTGACTTTTTAAAATCTGGCTAGATGAAGACTGAAAAAGAACTTAGAAGCAATAATTTTGCAACTAAAATTTGTAACAGCCTCCTTTTCCTAAAAAAATCATTGGTAAAATTAAATAGATTTGAAATTATTAAACCCAGAAAGCAACCTAATTATGATCATTGATAATCTCCTTATCCCAGTATTCTTCATTATTAAGTTTTTTGATGTTTGTTTGAGAAAATGAGTCACTTACACATGAATACACCAAGCAGTCATTTAACAAGTACACTGAGCTCACAAATGCTGAGCACTCCTCCAGATCTGTTGGCAACCCAGGGGGCGATGCAACATTGCTCCATGGGGAAGAGGAAACACATCCCAAGACCATGTTTAAAGAGAAACATATCAACAAGTACGAATCAATAGCCTATAAAATGAATGCCTAAGTACTGAGGGGATCCTTTTGAAAGCTTCTTCAAAGCAATAAAAGGGAAGTAGTGGTGTGCATAAGGAAAGGGAAGAATACCAAAATTCAATCACAGAGCACTTAAGCCCACACCAAGAAACAAGAAAATATGGAATGGACTAGGCATGTCTGAATTTTTATACTTTAAAAAAAATTTTTATTTTGGCCTTGTCTTGTTTTAAATTCATTCATAATGCTATCATATCAATAATTTTTGTATGCTATACTTTCTATCTGCCATTTAATGTTTTGGACATTGTCAAAATTTATTTAAAAATACTTAGATCAACATTATTGGGTATAATTATAAGAACAAAATATATTCATTCAGAACTCAGTTTTTAAAGTAAAGTTTCTTAAAGGTAAGGAGAGTGCATTTAAAAATAGCTTAGTTTCAGACTGCTAATCCCAGCAATAAGCCTTTGCTTAAATAAACACAGCTATGTGAATTGTTCATTTTACATTGCAGGCTTATCCTTAGCAGTTATTACTGTATTCACCAACTTCATGAAATTCCATGGTCTGGTTTCATAGTGGATTAATTGTAAGATAAGGCTGCTTGATTTGATCTAATGTTGCTGAGTTTTTTTTTTTTTTTTTTTGGCTATAAGTAAATGTTAACAAACCAGAATAGAATACAGGGTAGTCTTTTCAAAAATAAAAGACCCAGAATAGCCAAAGCAATCCTTAAGAAGAGTAAAACTGGAGGCAACACAATACCAGACCTTAAACTATACTTCAAAGCTAAAGTAATAAAAACAGCATGGTATTGGCACCAAAATAGGTATGTAGACCAATGGCACAGAATAGAAGACCCAGAAACAAACCCACATAAATACAGTTATCTCATACTAGACAAAGGTGCCAAAAACATACATTGGAGAAAAGATAGCTTCTTCAGCAAATGGTGCTGGGAAAACTGGAAAGCCATATGCAGCAAAATGAAACTAAACCCCTATCTCACACCATGTGCAAAACTCAACTCAAACTGGATCAAGGACCTAGGAATTAGACCAGAGATGCTTTGCCTAAGAGTGGAAAATCTTCATCATGTGGGATTAGGCCCTGACTTCCTTAACAAAACTCCTAACATGTAAGAAATAAAATCAAGACCCAATAAATGGGATGGATTCAAACTAAAAAGCTTCTTCTTAGCAAAAGAAACAATCAATGAGGTGAAAAGACAGCCTACGTTTTGGGAGCAAATTTTTGCCACATGCACATCATATACAGCACTAATCTCCAGTATGTATAGAGAACTTAAAAACTTAACACCAAAACAAAACAAAACAAACAAACAAACAAAACACAAAAAACCCACAAACAACCCAATCAATATATGGGCTAAGGATCTGAACAGACATTTCTCAGAAGAAGATATATAATTGATCAATAAATATAGGAAAAAAATGTTCAACATCTCTAGAGAAATGCAAATCAAAAGTACTCTAAGATTTCATCTCATGCCAGTCAGAATGGCAGTTATCAAGAATACAGACAACAATAAGTGTTAGGGTGTGGGGGAAAAGGCACACTCATACATTGCTGGTGGGACTGCAAATTGGTGCAACCACTTTAGAAAGCAGTGTGGAGATTCCTTAGAAAACTTTGAATGGAACCACCATTTGACCCAGCTATCCCACCCCCAGATTATACTCAAAGGACTTAATATCAACATACTGTAATAATTCAGCCACATCAATGATTATAGCAGCTCAATTCACAATAGCTAAACTGTGGAAGCAACCTAGATACGCTTCAATAGATGAATGGATAAAGAAACTGTAGTATATATACACAGTGGAATATTACTCAGCATTAAAAGAGAATAAAATTGTGACATTTGCAAGTAAATGGATGGCTTACATGCTAAGCGAAGTAAGCCAATCCCAAAACACCAAAGACCAAATGTTCTCTCTGATAAGCGGATGCTGATCTGTAGTGGGGGTGGGGGGCATGGGAAAATGGAGGAACTGTGATTAGGCAAAGGGAAGGGAAAGGAGTGGGGGAGGATCATAGAGTCAGGAAACATAGTGGAATGAGATGGAAATCATTATCCTAGGTACATGTATGACTACACATATGGTGTGATGCTGTATCTTATACAACCAGAGAAATGAATAGTTGTGCTGCCATTGTGTACAGTGAATCAAGATGCATTCTGCTGTCATATATGCCTAACTAGAATAATAAATAAATAAATAAATAATTTTGAAAAAGGAAATTATGTGTTTTTTTACTTTCTTTCTGCAGTCCCTAATTACATCATGACATGACAGAGATGCTCAGTTAAAATTTATGGAATAAGTGGGCTAATGAATAAATCTGTAATAAATGGTCAGTGGAAAACCATCATTATTGAAAATGAAAAGTACACAAAATCTATCCTTACTGGGAAAGGATCAGTAGCATTATTTCTGTATAATAAAATAAAGTCATTCAATGAAGCAAGTAGCAATTTTGACTTATGTTGTGCTTTTTTTTGTCATAAGCATCAGAATCAAAGTATGAGAAGCAGCATTAATTAGGTCACAGATGGGAGCTTCCAAAGCCTGTACCTTTCATGAATTCCTCTTGTCAAAGCCAGTTTGGAAACTTGGAAATTATGTTTATGAACACTCTGCTATTGTCTCTTCCATTGGAATCTGGCTTCTTTTAATATTTTGCACCGTAGTCAAGAGACCAATAAAGATAACCACTCAAGAAACAGGTTGTTTTACAGGGAAACTGATTTGATAATTTTTAGGGTATTCCCAAAGATGATTACAAGTAAAAAAAAATTCTGGCATGAATGAAAATAATTTGCATCTTGAAGTCGACTAAGGTTGTATGTTCACAAGTTCCAGAGCCTGGATCAGGAAGAGAGAAAATGTTAGCCAGGTGTGTATATGTGTGTGTGTGTGTGTGCGTGTGTGTGTGTGTGCGTGTGCGTGTGCGTGTTCATGTATATCTGAATGTGTATATGCATCACTAACAGCATCAAGATAACACTCCTGTATTAAATTGCAGTATAGACATATAATGTGAAGATACATGTCTTTTTCTAATGTGTTATTTAGGCTGAGGCATGTGTTTGATTTTAACCCCTTGCCATCTTACTGTTCCTGCTGAAATGGTATCCAATGAAATAGGATATCTCATTGCTGTGTCTTTTAACAAAGTCTCCACACTGATTTCTGGGAATACCTGAAACTCTAATCACAGGAGCATGAGGATATATTATTTTGTGGCTTGTTAAAATCAGGTTTTGCACCTGTGTCCATGGATCAGCAGAATATAATCACCACATAAGTATCCTCACAAACTTAGACTAACTTTTTATTCTATTCTATGGTCCACTTTGAAAATATAATAATAATTATTATTTAATAATTATATTAATATTATTAGTATTAGTATTATTATTAGTAGTAACAATAATAATTTTTGTACATGCATTATTAAATATGGTTGTTGTTTTTAAAAGAAAAGCTATTAGTTATTGAAGCCTACCCTGGGAATGTCACTAAACAATTCTGTTAATTAGTATTTTTCTACAATTTTATTAAACAGTTATTTGTATGGCAGATATCAGTGCAGTAAAAGTTGTTGATTGTGCACAGGGAGTTTCTCCATTAGTGGAAGTCAAACAAGCTTATGAATTGTAACCACCATATTTAATCATATGAATACAAACAGCTGAGCCAGTAAATATGTGATAGAATGCCGTCAGTTAGTCACCTTACTATTTTCTTAGGCTTTGGATATTCCTTTGAGCAAAACTCTTTCTGCAATGAGTTCATATCAGTTATTGAATTATAGTTAGTATCTTGGTATGAAAACTGATGGCTGCTAAATTTGAAATACCTCACATATGCACCTTAAAGTTATTTCTGACACATTATTCCAGGTAGGTGACCCAGTTTTTATACTGGGAATGATGACATTACTGCTGAGTCAGTTTACAAAGGAAACTGTCTTTGATCCATACTATCATGTGGATTTTATTCTAACTGCTGATGAGTTTTGCATTATTATACCTTAATACTCACTTACCCTGAGATTATTATGGATAGAGTCAGAAAAATACTCAGTGCCCCAAGTGGTCACTTATATAAAATAGGTGAAGAAATATGCACTATAGTAGTGTGAGTTTTCATATCAATGGTGTATATTAATGCTGCCAGCTTACACAGATCAATAACTAGAGGCGCACACACTTGGTGAAAACATCATCTATAGCATATAAACTTCTGTCTTCCAGTTTTACGTTTATCAGCATCTCGAGAGGTATTTATAGCCCCTCACACACTCCTTTATGATTCCCTTATTGATTAAGTGGTGATGCCTCCTAGTCATAGGACATGGTTCACTATTTTTCAATTAAAATGAAGAAATAACTTGTTTGTTGCAGGTGCATTTCAAGCGATTGGCTTGTGGGACTTTGAGAGATGCTGCTGCCCGTGACATGTTGGAATTATCATGATCAACTACTCGGTTTGGATTTCACCCAGTGGCCAAGAGCTTTGTGTGATAGACAGCAAGGGTTGGATTTTTAAAAAGAGTAAACCAGGTAAGGTTTGAGGGAGACATCTGATCATTTATCACTTGCTCTAAGGGCTTTCATGTACTGCCAAAATATATTGAATAATGTATAGCTTTTCTATTTGTTCTCTAAGTCCACTGAACAGGTTCCTGAAGAGTGAAGCTTCCTTGGCTTCAGGAGAATGTATATAGTAATAATTGAATTCCTTTTCTCTCCAAAGAGAGAGAAGCTATTTTAAGATATGTATAAAGCAGGCCTGAGAATACTATATGCACAAGTTTAATGCAGTGGCCTAAATGGCAAGCTATAGGGATTTCCCTTTTTTTTTTTTTTTTTTTTTTTAAGAAAGAGTGAGAGAGAGTGAGAAAGAGGGAGAGAGAGAGAGAATTTTAATATTTATTCTTAAGTATTTGGCAGACACAACATCTTTGTCTGTATGTGGTGCTGAGGATCGAACCCGGGCCGCACGCATGCCAGGCGAGCGCGCTACCGCTTGAGCCACATCCCCAGCCCCAGGGATTTCCTTTTTAAGTAACTACTCTGAACTCTCGTGGCATAAACAGTTATACTTTCAAAGGTGAAGAAAGGAAAGTGTTGCCTTTCAGTATTTATATTTTGCACAATATAAAAATGTGAATATAAGTTCATGGTATGAGATCTAATAAACATGCTTCAAATTTACTATGATTCAGAAGATTAGACCATTATTTTAATTTTCATTTTTCTGAAATCGTTAATTATTCTAAATTCTATTCATATTTTATTTAAAATAATGATACAATGACATACTCTATTATTACTGTTGCAAGAATTGACAACATTACACTCTAATTCAAGTATCTTTTTATTTAATTTTTCTATTTCATTCTGGAAAGTCTTCTCAATCATTGTCCATAATTGGGTCAGATAATATTTTTCTCTAACTCTTTCATTCATAGTATAATTTAAGTGATCATTACTTAGTTGGAGAAATCACAAATTATTCTTATCTTCTGACTTTTAAGATCGTCAAAATTTTTAGAAACTTCAAACTTTCTTTTAGGTACAAGTATAGGAACAGAAATGCCATAAGTAAAATTTATTAATGTAGAAAAAATGGAGGGCGATTTTTCAATGCCAGCAATGCTTGAATTCTTCAAACTTTTTACAAAAAATTGCTTTCTTACTTTATGAAAATAAAGTAAATGGGACTCAGTCAAAATAGTATATCCTGACATCGTTGTTTTGATGTAAATAAGGACTTCCAACGTATTTGAAAATTATCTCCTTCTTCTTCTTCTTCTTTTTTTTTTTTTTTTTGTTTGGTACTGGGGATTGAACTACGGGGCAGTTGACCACTGAACCACATCCCCAGTCCTATTTTGTACTTTATTTAGAGACAGGGTCTCACTGAGTGGCTAAGTATCTCACCATTGCTAAGTCTGGCTTTGAACTTGCGCCCCAAGCTGATGGGCCAGGCGTGCACCACTGCACCTGCTTTGAAAAGATCCCTTCTGAAATCCACTATGACTTATTTGTTTGTAAGGTGATATCATGAGAGTGAAAATCCCAATCATAAATTTAAACTCTGTTGGAAATAGTATAGATCGCCTAACTCATGGCAGAAAGTCTTATTGGATGAATTGAGTTGGTAGATAAATTTTTGCTGTTTAGTGAAAAGTGTGTTACCCACATCTAGAAGAATTTTACCAGTCATAAGTAAAAGGGAAATCAAAATGCAGGATGCGTTGTTGAAAAGTGAAACCAAGTCCCATGCTTCATAGCATTGGTATCTAGCACATAATTATTGTGACGCCTCATGGTAGCCTCTCATAGTTTTAAACTTGTAAATTTTCAACTCTGAGTCCAAAATAAAGTTTATCCTGATTATGTTTACTTCAATATTTTCAACATAATTGGGCTGCATGTCAAAACCTCGGCATTCTAAACCAGAAGATTGAAGCGGGGGATAAAATTAAGTCTATTTTAAAGGTAAATAATCATGTGATCAGGCACTTAGCAATTATCTTGTCACAAAGATAGAGCTCAACTCTATTTGTAAGAAATGTGTTTCATTCTTTAGCATACTGTATCTTTCTGAACCATACAAGTTATCAATTTTAGGGAAAGTGTACAATAATTTTGATCCATGTGTTACAAAGAAACATAACTTCTCTTTATTCAGTACTTTGCAATGAATCTTGCTACATAGGTTTACAGAGATGGTGTTTTCCAATGTCCTGCATAAAATATATGATTTAGAAGTGTCCTATGGAACACAGAGGATTTTACAATGAATTGATACATTCTCAGTTAAAGGTTAACTACTTTTAAATGGATGGAAAATTTATACATTGCAGTTTTATAGTTTATATTAGTTTTAAATTCATTTTGTGCTCTATTGTATGAATGGAAGTTGCATTTTTTATGGTGGTGTATGCTAGCTTCTTCATGAAGTAAAAAGAGTGTCAAGGCTTCCCAATTCTGTTTCTTAGAAGTTCATAACAAAGCCATAAAAATTTTGCACTGGTCCTAAGCTTCGATGCATTTTTTTTTCTTAAAGCATTTTTAAAGTAAAGGTTTGCCTAGTTCAAGATTGTATTACTATATCTCATGCATAGAAGCAATATTGAGCTATAAAGACAGAATATAAAAGGTGAGATTTTCCAAAGCACTTCTGATAATAGTCTGCCCCGTATAAAGGCAAAACTAGTTTATGAAAAACACTTAAGTAGTTTCTGTGTACATAATATATCTATCCTTTGCTCCCTGCAGAGAGCAAAGGATATTCTCACCTGGGCAACTTTTCACATTCTGAGACCTTGAAAATCTCAAGAATTTATACAAACAGCTGATACGATCATGAAAACTCTTATATGAATCATAAATACTTTCTAGCCACAAACTTATTTGCCCTATGAACATTTTTTGCATGCCTACAACATGTAAAACAGTATGTGGCCAAAATCAAATAATCAACCCTCCCTTGTCCAATCTTCAAGTAGTTTATACTCACAGAAACAAGCAAACAAACAAAAAATCCATGATACACAAGTAATTCATTCCAGGAAAAATGGACCAGATATTGTAATGCATTAGGTCAAGCAGAATTCTCCGGAAATTAAGATGAAGGACTATTAAATCTGATAGGTATGCTAGAAGGTTTTTGAGACTTAAAAGGCATTTCAGCTGCATAGCTAAAGAGTGGGGAGAATTTTAATTAATTTGAAATAGGCATGAAGTTATTTGAGGCTCAGGGCACAGTCTGACAAAGTCACCATGCTGTAAAAAGAAACATATGTTTGAAGAATTGAAAGCTTAACATTGGGGTACATAGGGAGAGATGTAAGAAGAGGCTGGATATATAGGTAGTGACTAGCCTGGAGTGTTTTACATGCACAAATATAGTGAAATATGAAATAATGAAAGAAATGTAGCCTAATCTCTATTTTTATTGATAAATGATGCTTGTTCAGAGTGAGGTATAGGCAGGGAAGTTATGTGCAGAGAGAAAAGATAAAATAAGAGCATTCAGTGCCTTTAGAGCAGAAATGTGTCATGTTTTAGCCCACTGCCTCACCAATACCTAGGGCAGCTTATGTCCATCATTGGCTCTGTTATTTTTTCAAATACTGATGAAATGAGAATTTTTTTAGTGATAATTTAAGACTACATTTCCCAATTTCTTTCTTTTTTAGAAATGGTTTAAAAAGTACAAACAGAATTTAACTTACATGTTTTTCATTACATTGTGTGTGTACTTTTGTAAGCTTTTACGTGTGTGTGCTTATGTGCACACACACACACACACTAAACACTCTCAGTATGTGCTTGAAATTAAACCTCAGATCCTCTTCTTCAAATTTATGCTTCAATTACAATGGGGGCAGCTGCTACCCTACTTTATTTTCCTTTTGAGACTTTTATCTTTCAGGCTTCATCCTTCCCTTCATCATTTTATCATCCCATCAATCACTAGGTTTCCTTCCTCGGGAATACAGCATGCATCGCAGGCACATTTTTATGGCTAGAAAGCAAACCTATCCTACTTGGCACGTACTGCTTACTTAAACCTAATTAAGTAATTCTGCTGAAAGGATCATGTCCCATCCATCACAATGCACATTTGGTCAAAATAATAGGGAACCCTATAAAGCTGTGGAAAGACCAGGGAAGGGAACCTGAAGAAGACACAAAGCACAAACAAGTGACCTTCAGCCCAGCCTTCTTTGACACAATCCTCTAATGAGTCTTGGCACATTTACACCTCTAGAAGAAGAAACACCTAGTTCTGAGCATCACCTTTACTCCAGTTATTTTATTGGAAACTACCATTATGGTAAGTCTCCCCTGTAGTATGCCAGAGTCAGTATATTTTGTATAATTGAGTCATCTATTTTCAGTGAAGTTCCCTGACAGTCTGGGGAAAATCCAATAACTTCTCTCTAAATATGCAGACTTAGGGAAATGTTGGTGTTATATATTAAAATGTAATGTTTTTGAGGCCAGAGTTTTGTTTTGTTTTCCTTCTTTAAGTCCTAATTTCACAATGCCAGGTATACACACTAAATATGTCCAATGACTGCCTAACTGAAGGCACATGAACCCTGTGCCTAAAATCAATCAACATCTCTATTTTTAGCAATAATAAGCATATCTTCCTCTCTTGTTAGAGGAACCAGTTGGTTTGGGGTTCATACCAGGTATTGTTAGAAAAGGGTGTCTTATCTTTTCATGGTTATCAATATTGATAATATTTAGTAACAGATATTTTAAAATCATAGAATGACATATAATAGTACTTAAGGAATAGAAGTATGGAGGATTTAATCTAATATAAAGGAAGAAGAAAAAATAGTAAAAGAAACCTTTATTAAACATCTTGCTGCCTTAATAAATTCAGTGTGGTTCTCTTTTGCAAATTCTCACAAACTTAAGCCATTTTACTTTTTATATGTTTCTTATGTTTGGGAGAAAGAAGTACGATTTGCCATTTTGGTTCTTCCATGAAGTAGGTATTTACTTTTCTGATAGGATTTACGGGAATC